CTCTCTCTCTCTCTCCCCCACCTCACACACGCACGCGCACAATGTAACAGACCGACAGACAGACAGACACACCGGTGAGAGCGACAGACAGGCAGAAGCCAAGTCATGGAGGCGATATGGCTCTATCAGTTCCGGCTGATCGTCATCGGGGACTCCACGGTGGGAAAGTCGTGTCTGATCCGGCGGTTCACGGAGGGCCGCTTCGCCCAGGTGTCGGACCCCACCGTCGGCGTGGACTTCTTCTCCCGGCTGGTGGAGATCGAGCCGGGCAAGCGGATCAAGCTGCAGATCTGGGACACCGCGGGTCAGGAGCGCTTCAGGTGAGAACAGCTGGGTGTGTGCAAAGCCCTGATATTCCTATAAGTGTTCTCTGGTAGCACTCAGTTTAACATCCGAGGGGTTTCAGTTCATGGTGTTATAATAATATGCCATCAGTGACCACAGTGGGCCCCTAGCGTTAAATTGCGAGACATTACAAAGCAACTGATGGTGTTTGTTTGCCATCAGAAGAGGTTAAGTGAAAGTAGGAATACAATGTAAAAAGATAAAGTTAAAAAAAAACTGCAGTTTAATAAGTATTATTAGCAACACTTGTGCTTAAAGTATCAAAAGTAGAAGTTGTCATTGTGCAGATGACTGCGTTCAGTGTTAGCCTATATTATGTAATATTATTATTACTGATACAGCAGCAGTTTAATGCAGCTTGTCGAGGTTGAGCTAATGTGAACTATAATTGTATATAATAGTTTAATCTGTAAAAATGCACAAAAAAATCTAATAAATTAACGAGATCGTTGGAAAAATAGCTGAGAAATAGAAGTAAGTGGAGTACAAAGTCTAACATTTCGCTACGAACTGCAGTGGAGTAATATGAAATGGACTTAAGTGTCTCAGGATGTAATGTCCTTAGTTACATCACACCCGCGGTCATGGATTTTTGTAACATTTGAATATAAACATAGAAAGATTAAGCCAAAGCAAACATGGGAAGTTTGCAGATACAAAAGGTTAAAGGTGTTTCCCTTAAAATAGGGATGTCAAACTGCTGGCCCGGGGGTCCATTTCTGTCCCGCACAATTATGTTCATATCCATTTAAAGTACTACTTTATATACAATTAAACTGGTAAAGGTTAAAGGTGCCTTCAAATGCGTGCAATGGGTTGATAAGAAGAGAGAAGTGCCTTAAAGAGCTACTTTCAAATCCCAGACTGATAAGTAGAAAAATCTTTTTAAGGGGCATCACCCTCTGCTGTTGTGTAACATCTGGTGTCGTTTCTGGCTCAAAGGTCAGGAGGTTATACGTTGTATATGTTTCTAGTGTGAACCCACGAAGAAGAACTGCAGTCAGGATAAACAGCTGACTGACAAACAACTGAGGAAATAATTCAGCAGAAAATTAGAGGAAAACGCGTCAGAGTATTCACAGTATGCTGCTTCACTGACAGGGGATCTCTGGGAAATGCAGTGCAGAATCACGACCGCTTAGCACCACAGATGTCCTTAAAACACAGAGTTAAACGAGGAACTTGTGGTTTAATTTTGGAAACTGAAAGGGTGGTTTAGTTATCATATGTTGTGCATGTGGATATTTAAAAGAGCTGCTTTTACAGAACTGAGAGAGAGGCTGAACTTGCGGACCTGTGACCTAAAGAAAGTCACATTAGATGTCTGATTAATTCAATTCAATTCAAT